TTCCTAAATCATGTGATGCTTCAAAAGGGCTCGGATATCGAGAACTGATGCCAGTGATGACGACTTGTCAGTCAGAATATAGACAGGGCCTCTTGACTCGCTCATTTGTCTTAAGTGCAATCTGGAAAATCTCGAAGATGTGGTAGTCACGGCTCGCACCATTCCACTTTGTCTGCTCCATTTGCCCTGCTGACGGCCCGTTTTCTGGGGCCAAGACTGCTATTAACTATTATCTAGTGATATTTGTTCGCTACAAGCACTTAAGGGCAATATTATGCTGGCTCAATGAGAATAATCAATGCTATGCAAGTCTAGTCTATCTAATCCATCTATATGCAATACTAGAACATCACACATTATACCACCACCAACATCTCACGCCCTCTTAGCCTTCGTCTTCTTGTTATAGGGCCTCACACGGAAGACATAATAAAGCACGATCGCCGCACAAATGTTGAAGACAAAGTAAGCCCAGAAGATACCATAATCTCTCCAGCGATCATCCCAGCTAATTTCCCGACCGGCCAGATACTGATCGGCCGAGCGGAGCGAGCAATACTCACAGCTCTCAGTCGCGTTCTCGTTATACAATCTGCCCGTGGCAGTAGTGAGATAATCAGCGAGATATTCACCGCAGGTCTGACCCGACGGGGGATTGAATACGCTGAGCTCGCTATCCGAGCAGACGATCGGACGACCGTGCAGAGCAGTACTGGAGATACCGGCGATGTAGTACGATAGTGGAGAGACGCGCCACATGAAAATCCAGAAGCCGGGCAAGGCAGACGGGGGCTGCATGACACCGTTGAAGATGAGGGAGAGACCGAACATGAAGACCGCTAGCATACCACCCAGTGCGGGGTCGGGGAGGGCGCTGATGATGAATTGGGCGAAACTGGAGGCGAAGATGTAGAATTGGATGACGAAGAGCAGGATCAGACCCATGCGGTCGGAGGACTGGTCGGCTCCGAAGACGGCAAAGTAGAATGATGCCCAGGCGCAGACGGCGAGAACGATGTGCCATGGAATTTCGGCGAGGAATTGGGCGATGATGAATATCTTCCAGGAGTAGACCTTTGATGGCCTTTCTCGGACTTCGTAGAGGGCGCGGTTGGCGACAAAGTGGGGCATGATTCTGGAGGGGTTAGTGTAAAGTCCGTCGTCGGGATGATGGTAGCACTCACTGGTTAACCAAGGTGGTAAAGATCGTACACAGCAGGAACAAACTGAAAAGAACATTCTGGAACCCTTGCTGGGAGTCGTCGGACTGCCAGAAGGAAAAGCCGATGAAAAGACCGGATACAATTCCCAGAACGAATTTTGCCAGGACGTATTCGGGTTGTCTGTAGTACTGTTGGAACACACGTTGTGTCACGTAGTAAAACTGGCTGGACAGTGGCATTGCAAACTCGGCGATGGTTTCGTCTCGAGAAGGTAGCGATGCGCCCTTTTGACAGATGCGGTCCAGTTCAGCGTGGAGTTCTTTGCGTTCGGGACTGTTATTCCAGGTCTGAACCCAGTCGATGGTTGACTTTCCAGAAGCACCCGCACCGATGATGTCCAGCATATATTCAGCAGGCTAATAAAGTCAGTATGCATGAATCAAATGGCGGGTAAAGATATGACTCACGTTTTCAGTGGCTTCGCAACGGCGGGCGCCATTGCTCTGGAAGTAGTTCAACAAAGTCTGAGACTGCTGGCCAATATCGCCAAAGTACACCGTCTTTCCACCCTTAGCAAGGAACAGTAGTCGGTCAAAGTGCTCAAAGAGCAGAGCACTAGGCTGATGAATTGTAGCCAACACAGCCTGTCCGTGGTGCGCAAGCTTTCTCATGAAGGTACAAATAGCCCAGGCACTCTGAGAGTCGAGACCAGAAGTAGGCTCATCCAAGAAGATCAGCAATTCCGGCTTGGCTGCTAACTCAACACCAATACTGAGAAGCTTTCTCTGGCAAACGTTCAGACCGTTGCCTGGATTTCCGACTACAGCTTCGGCAAAGTCTTCCATATCCAGCATCTTGATCACTTCTTCCACGTAGGCGTATTTCTCCTGAAGGGAAACAGTCTTGGGCTGGCGCAGAACCGCACTGAAGCGAAGTGCTTCACGGACTGTCGATTGGGCCAAATGCATATCTTGCTGCTGTACGTAGCCAACTTTGCGAGGGAAACTTGCGTTTAGGTCTTTGCCGTTGACGAATAGCTCACCAGTGATGACTCCGAGTGAAGCTCTCTGCGCCAAGACGTCAAGTAGAGTAGTTTTACCTAGAATCACTTAGTTATTATATATCATAGAATTCCGTCAATGAAGGCCGACATACCAGCACCACTGACTCCCTATTAGACAATTAGTAAAGATCTTTATAAGTATGGAGAGCAAGGCATACCATAAGAGCCGTCAAAGTTCCTGGCTTGACAAATCCACTAACTTCATCGAGAAGCCTCCGTGTTCCCTCCTTCACCGGGATATCGTATGACAGGTTTTTCCAGGTGAAGATTTCCTTTTGTTCCGGAATTTCAGCAGCTCCAAGATCAGACTCTCCCGCACCTTCAGTCACAGCTTGCACAGATTCCACTCCAGTTTCTTCATCATTCTGAAGATTGGCGGGCACATGTCCAGGACGGAAGACCAATGCCTCAGCAGTGGGCTTCGCACCGGGAGAGAGCTCGGTAATGGTGAGGTAAAGTGCATTGAAGAATACCAAGAACGCAATCAAAATTCCGTAATTCCGCCAGATGTGTGAATAAGAGTATTCATAGTTCAAGGAAATGAACTGGTCTCCCGAGACAGTTCGTGCGCCAGCAACAGCGCCCACGGCAGAGCAGATGAAGGAGTCTCCACTAAGACTGGGATAGCTAGGGATGAACTCTGAGCACTCGAAATTCCGTCCATGGAATTCGTTGGCAACCAAGCCTTCGAACGAGTAGAAGATAGGGTTGATCCATCTGATCCAGCTGAACCACGGATGCATGTATGGCTGAGGCAGGGTAAAGCCCGTGTACACAACCATGCAGATAACACAGATACCTGCCAGCGCCATAGCTTGTCCAATACTCTTGGTGGCAGAACCCAAGCTTCGGAAGACACCAGACATCGTGACAATCGTAGTAATCAAAAACAAGATGTAGATGAAGAATTGAGAAGGTTCACGACGTAGGTTCGCCATAAAGTAGAGAATGATACTGAAGCAGATACATCTAAAGAGCTTGATCGGGAAATCGAGGATGATTGACGCAAGAGCTTCAGCAAACGGATGCACGAATGCATACCCAGCCTGCTTTTCGACGACAGGACGTTGGGCGTAAAGGGACATAATTTCGTTAATAGTAATCAAAGCGTTCATGAGGACCGAGAAGTAGAGGGTAGCACCCCTTTGGAAGAAGCCAGCCGTTGCAGCGGGTGTGTTGTAGAAAATGGAACCGATAATCAACGAGAGTGCGATTTGAACAAAGACGGTAATCAAGGTAGTGGGAAGGTCATTTCGTGTTCTTTGATATGCTCGTCGGAGGCAGATCCGGATCTGCATGGGAATCGAGAGGAGATAAGGGCTCTTCGGACGAACATGTTTCGCTTGCTGCGCCTGCTTGCTTTCGCCGAATCGCTTCTCGAGCTCGACTCCGGGCGCATATCTCGCCTTATAGCTGTGCATCTTAGCTTTGAGAGCTTGATATTGCGGACTCTTCTTCCAGTAAGCTTCGAATTCGGCTGGTGTCCGGGGAACTCTGTCTGCCATGTCTTTCCTAGCGATTCTCTCGCGAGGATTGGTGATGGACGTCAAGAAGTCAGGGGTGATCTGTTTCAGTGGTCGTTCCCAGCCCATTTCCTCGAAATATTGGGCTGCCTCCTGCTGCGGACCATAGTAGATCTGTCTACCTTCATACAGTACCACAACCTGATCGAACAGCTGGTACATAGACTCGGATGTCTGGTACGCGGCAACAGCATGGCAGGAGCCGACGAGATCAGAGGAAAGACGAAGAGCTTGAATGATTTCGAGGGCCATGGCAGCGTCGAGGCCGCGTGTGCTGTTATCCCAGGCACCAATAGGAGCACGCGATAGAGCCATCTCGGCAATACTAAATGGTTCAGTAAGCTATATCATCGTGGGACCTTTGTGCCGACTCACCTCACGCGCTTCCGTTCACCACCACTAACACCACGGATGAAATCGTTGCCCACTTTGGTGTTGTACGTATGCGAAATACCGAAGAATGCCATGATCACCTGGACCCTCGTCTTGACGTACTCTGCCCGACTCATACCACCGATCCGGTTGTGTGGTGCTCGTGCGTGAGCAGCGAACTCGAGGGTCTCGCCAACGGTCAGATGAGGGAAGTGCTTGTCGACTTCTTGATTGTACAGGACTTCACCGCGGTATTCCTTGATCATCTGGCTGAATGCGATACCTTTGTACTGCACATTGCTTTGGGGGTCCAATTCCAGTCCATGAAGGTGTCCACTGATAGTTTTGAGAAAGGTAGAGCAACCACTACCAGGTCTACCCAGGACAAGCAACAGTTCTCCACTTTCCAAAAGACCATCATGACTGTGTAGAATCGTGCGACGTGTGCTTTTCTTGCTCCGGAATGCCGAAGTAGCCAGCTTGAAGGGACTCATAAGGGTGGACAGCACCGTCTGCTGCAGGTGAAGCGAAGAGCCAGATCCATGAACCGACAGATCCTCGAATAGGATACCTTGCTGACGGGCATCGATATCCTCGGCGTCCAAGGCCCGGATAGTGACCTTGGCCCATTGATACGGATCGAACTGGGGATGGCTTGGATCTAGAACCTTCTCGTTGGTGATGACAGCGGCCAGCGACTCGGTGTGTAACTCCGAGGCGATGTTGGTGAGAGCACGACGTTGCTCGTTGGTGACCACACTGGAAGCAGTCTGAGTCTTGGTTAGTTGCAGACTGAGGTCATTCTCATCTGCACCATCCCGGTGGGGTGGATCCATGATTATAAGATTACACGCCTTTCAGCGGAAAAAAATAACTATAGCAATATGAAGAAAATGTAAAAAGGTAATTATAAGCCACAACAACGGGCATATATAGTTGAAGTGGAGATTAATAGTACATGCATCCAAAAACCTTTCAACTACGCACAGCAGCGACCACGCCCCTTGATATTTTGTTCTCCAACGTGATGAGTGGAGCCTGTCGAATCCCTACGAGGTCCACCTGCACGGCGAAGTCGGTGACAGATTTTTATACAACCGGAAGTGGTCGCCTCCGAGACAAGAAGCAACAGGCAGTGCTCCGAGATTATTGGCTCCCGCAGTGGAAGATGGAGCATAAGAAAATTTATGTTCGAATTGCGGGCGCAAGCTTAGCCGCCAGGGACCCCTTCGGCATTCGGCTTTGGGCGAACCGACACGGATCCAGCGAATGCCATGATCAGGCACATCTCAAAGTGCCTCCCTACTGGCTGGTTTCTTTGGGTTGCCCCGAAGGGCGCAAAGTCTGTTGTTGCGCCAACTGTGGGTCTAACGATCGTTCACCAGACAAAACGCTAACAACCAATCCGGTGGATCGGATTTTACCCTGAATTAGCAATCAATCAAGTTATGGGGCCTATTTCTCGGATTTTAAGTCACGGAGTTAACAGGACATTACGCAGTACGGAGTATACATCTGCATAATGACGCTGCATCTGAGTAATCCGTTCCCTCTGCTCCCAGCAAATAAGCAGATTGAATGCACAACCCTCCATAACAGTTAACAGATGCCCAAACCAACATGAATACTCCAAGACATTGTTGTACCTGCTAGCAATTCTCCGAGTTTGAGCTGACGTACTCCACGTGGTGTTGCGTTTCCTTCTGCGAAGGTTCTAGCCCCTGGATGACTCCTCCCAGCGGGTTGGCTTCAAACCGGCCTTTGTCGGCCCATTCTGTTCGGGCTACCAAGACCGAAGTCCCGTAGAATATCGCGTCGATCTCCTCGAGCCGCCGGCCGGTAGTCTCCGGATATAGCAGGTAAATCACCGGCACAAAGCAGAAATTAAACACCGTAAATACTAGGTATCCCTTCCAGCCCTGCTGGCTCATCAGCGAGGGAGTCATCATGACGGTGGCGAAGTTCCAAATCCAATTCGAGGAGGTCGTCAGAGCTGTCCCCTGGGATCGCAGATGAAGAGGCATGATTTCGGCATTGTACAACCAGGGTATCGCCAGATATCCCAGTGCGAAAAAGGTGTAGTACAGGAAGAAGGCAACAATGCAGATAATCGAGGCTGCAAACGTGCCCGACCGGATGGTTAATGACATGGTCAGGAAACAGCAGCCCATGCCAGCAGCGCTAATCATCATACACCGCCGCTTGCCGAGATGATTGATCACAAAAAATGGGATAAATGCTGATAACAGATACCAGAGACCGTTGAACCCGGAAAGGAGCAGGGATAGATTATGGCTGAGACCGACGGAGACTTCGAAGAGGTATGAAATGTAATAGCCGATGCTGCACACGCCGGACCACATCACCATGAACATCAACCTGCATGTGATGCATCTGATCAGCCGAAACATCCCGCAGTGACTGTTAAGCGAGACTTACCACCACCCTAGCATGAGACGTCGGAAATTTTGTGTGCGTGGCTCATTCTTAAATAGATCAACCCATCTGGTCGCTGCATGGCTGGCTTCAAGCTCCACAGCTTGCTGGATCAAATGGACCTCTGCTTGGACCTCGCTTTGCTGTTCATCCGATGTTCCATGCATTCTCATCAGTGTACACAAGGCTTTGTCTCGGTAGCCGTGGACGAAGTGCCATCTGGGGGACTCCGGCATCAATGGAACTACAAACCATAAGCTGTGAACCCGGCATGATCAGTGAAAAATACATGAGGTACTTACCAAGGGACATTATCAGCACCGCAAACACAAGCTGCGCTGCGACCAGGAAGCGCCATTGAAAAACACTATTTGCGGAATAGGACAGAGCATACGCCATCCAGTAGCTGACAGTGGTGCCTGTGCAAACCAACACATACTGGATGGCTCCGAATCGTTCTCGCTTTTTAGCTGGAAGGGTCTCGGCCTGCCATACTGGGATCACAGACGTGTTCAGTCCGGTTCCCATTCCAGACACGATCCGCCCGACAATAAATTGAGCTGGTGAGTATGCCGCTGTTTGAATCACTGCGCCGATCGAGATCAGGACTGTGCCGATTAAGATAGGCTTCTTACGACCAATCTTCTCGCTGAATGGTATACTGCCAACGCAACCGAAGAAACACCCAAGCGTGTAAAGACTAGACAGTAGTCCTTGCATAAAGGTTGATGGCTGGTCCATGGTTTGAAGGTAATCCTCAGCGAGTCTGCACGCCAGTCAGAACCATAATTCGAGGTAGGTGGTGGCAGCGTACAGCACGCCTGACATGAACCCCTGGTCATAGCCATAGAGAAGGTATGAGATGCCGCATGTTATGGTCATCAATATACAGAGCACTTGGCCCTGAGGTTTGTTCATAGTCGCCAACGGGTCATAGACCGCGTCTTTGGATATTAAACTGCATCAAGAGTGGAGGCTTCTTCAGCTCTCCAGGAAAATGAAAGGTTCTCGCAGCTCAACACATGAGATGATAAACCTGCACCCCGCATTTCTCTGTTTCCTCAGATCATCATTTTACCCCAGGCTCCGGATATCGAGACTCGTTAAGTCAACCAGGATATTTCTCCGACGCCTCGGACGATCGGCGCAGTTCCGCTGAGACACGCGCGGCACCGTGACCTTCTCATTCTTGATTGACCCCTGTGCATTGAACAAAGTGCGGGGTTGATCAACCTGAAGAACGAGTGACGAGACCCAATGATAGAAACAGGCCAACATACTTATTGTCAACGGTCGGGTGTACTCCGGGTGTGGTACTGTACAAGTTCCCACTAGAAATGTTGCTGCGACTAGTAACCAGTAGGTCGAAAAATACATTCGGCGGGCTACTACTAGTCATACCTTTGTCTCCCACTTGGGGCCCTAAACTCTCAGGCCGCACTCCATACGTTTATCCATTTATTTATTTGTTTAGTATTCATCTTGGAGGACGAAAGGCGAACAAATGTAAAAGGAAAAAAAGAAAGAAAGAAAAAGGGAAGAATTCATAAACAAATAAAATGAACATTTGACATATAAGATATTATGTAATCCATGTCCATGCCGATGCACCCAAGCTTGGAAATCGAAACATAAGAATAATTCCAGGCATTATAATATGTTATAGTATCTTGAAGAATAAATCTATTCATTGCGCTTTGCATTTTGTTTAGGATAGAGGAGACACTTGTAAATTCAACAGTTTTTGATCCTAACTGTTGTCATGCGACCCCTTCACGACAACGGAAACAACAAAAAATTGCAAATAATGCAATTATCAACTCGAGCTCGCTGGGACCCTTGCAGATGACAGTATGCCACCATATAGCTATACTTGCGAGACAAAGACTTGTCCGTATACTTCTGCTTCGACTACAGTATACAATCCGCGCCGCCCATCCACCTGAACACGGCATTTTGCCTTCGTGATATCATTGAACTTGTCCTGTTCCGCCTTGTAATCCTTGCCAATCTTTTCCAAGTCATTTTTAGTAACCGCGTGAAGGGCAGCAGCGGCCTCCGAATAGTCGTCTTCATCGCGTAGTCCCCCACGACGATGAGATCCAGAAGCACCATAGGGGCGGGGCTGGGATCCGAGAGGATGCTTTGGATGCCCAGGGTGACATTACCGGTAGCAGCAACAGTCTCGAAGGCTCCGTCCAGCACATCGAGCTCCGGAGTGATATCATCGAGGAAGGGTACAAAAGCAAAGGCAATGCCCAGAATCTTCAGGGCGAGCTTGATTTTATCCTCCTTTGCCTGCTTCTCGCCAATGGCCTTCACCAACTGACAAACTCAGTAAAGAGGGGGAAACGCTCAAAAAGACCATTGATAAATTATCTAAGACAAATGAAGATGATATTTCTATCGGGCACATTTCCGACGTCAATCACCTAAATATCATGAGAACTTTTGAGACTTCCATCACCGACTTGACGGAGGTGATGGAAGAAAGTCCCTCTGATAGTGATTTCGCTATTCCGGACCCCGAGCTAGCTGATACGTGTAACGTCGAGTTCGGCTAACCTTCATACTCGGACTGACTCCGAATTCGCAGGAGGCTGTTTGCTAGGGCCAGGCGCTATGTTTCTCCGCTCGGGGCATTAATAGCTAGTTTTGTCAAGATAGCTCTCTCGTCGCAATCACACTATGTGTTTGCTGTCAGCTTCGAGAATTATAGAAGTTTACTGCAAAATGTGTAGTATTTGCAAGTATACTCCGCAAGAATCAAGGCCTTTACTTTGATGTTGACATTTTGAGTACCCTTGTTCCATGTTACATAGGTAGGTTCTCTGCTGCGGCGCGCACAGCAAACCCTTCCATCTGTTCTTCCAATTTTATGTTCAACAGTTGAAGTACGGCCAATTCATTTGCTCCATCCTGACCAGATTATTCCAGCGATGCTCTTTCAAAAAGGCGTGGCGGTGCCGCCGAGCCTCCGGTAACCCCATAGGCCAGCTGCCCGTCTCTTGCATGATCTGATCGATTATCTCTTGAGGCAGTCCCGCGGCGCTCAGATCCGCACCTACCGCTTCTGCCCACCAATGATGCTGCTGGGGCGGCACATTTCGGGTGGAGCAGACGCGATAGTGAGGGTCGACCAGATACAACTTGATGTATCTAAAGTGCCCCGGGCGAGTCCGATCAGCTAAGAAGAAGGGCTCGACACGGTGCTCTAGAAGGTTGGGAAATGCGATCAAACGCCCCTGCGAGACCGAAACTACACCTTTATCCTGCCATGTTCTCGTTGTGTGGTTATCAGTATCGAGGTCAATATCTGAATAGCCCAGGATTTGCGCCAGTTCATATAAATCGGAGTAGCCATGTTTTCCATATCTGTGGGCTGGCAGCGATCGTATGTGCCACCTGCATCCTGTTTCTTTATGCTCCCTATATCTGTAGAAGCATTGATCCATCTTAGTGTTCTGACGAAAGGCGATCTGGGGTTCTGTAACATTCTCGACATCGTATGCAAAGATGGCGACAGCTACGAGGTGCTCGTTAAGCTGGCCTTCCATATGCCAGTCTGTTCCTTTGTACTCCGGGTTGTCAGTGGTAAGCTCAATGTTCTCCATGTTCACAATTACTTGTAGTCCTTGCGAACGGAAGGTCTCCTGAAGCCGAATAGTATATGGTTTGTGGGGAGGCGTGACAGGTTTGTAGGGCATATTATGCCAGTCGTTCCGCTTGCGGATCATGTCAACCACAGCTCTTTCGTGGTGATGCCCCGTCTTCCACTCTTCATAAGAGAAAGCCGTCCCAGGCTCCGGGTGACGAAAACGCACCACTCGCTTGGCCTTGCGTTCGATTGCACTCCAAGTCTTCTGCTGCCAATCATCCGGGGCAGGAACCGGGGTGGCTGATCCATCTTCAGGGAGTTCGAGATACTCCTTTGCGCGTTGCCAGAGGTCTGACTCGGGGGGCGGTAACTTCTTGTCTTCACTTCCCTATAACGTCTTGAAAGTCTTCCAGTCGTTCTTGTGCGCGTTGGTATCTTTTGCGACCCTCGTCTGTGTTATCCCCCCCACTGTTCAAAAGCTCTTCTCGGAAAAAGCGGTACCTCGACTTTCTCCACTCACTTGGAATCCGGAAGGCGAGCAAGCATTTAGGAAGCTCATTCTCCCACTCTATTCCATAAGTGATTATCCGTAGCGGCACCGGCCCCAGCTGGCCCTGGTTCAAGATATCGCTCCAGCCCCGCTGTCCCTGGACCAAGCAGTCGTTCCATAACGGTATTGTCCGGCCTACCAATGTTTCAATTGCACGGTACAGGCCCTGGTGCACAGGGTGCAGATTATTGACATATGAGGTGAGGCGAACCTGCGTCGATCCTGCATCCCCTACAAACTTCGCTTCAGATGGCAGAGCCTGGTAATTCGCGCTCCATCGGTAATGAGGTGCTGTTTCATGGTCGACAATCATTGACCAAGACAGCTTTCCCCCCTCATCAATTTGCCTCTGAATGTTTGCCGAATCCGTCCTCTTGTCGACGTGAGTAGGCGCAAGGGATGTCGCACCCTGATACGCGCCAAGCACATTCGCTACTTCCACCCTACCACCATCAGTCAAGACCAAGCTATGCCCATAAACCAGCGGAAACAAGGTCGGGTCGACGATACTTAATCTATTCCTTGACCGCCAATCCAACTGCCCGGGTTCTATTAGGGACCGAAGCACCGGTTTTACTGCGCGTCGGAACTCGCCGGCTAGCTCCCCCGTTTGAAGTGCAGGAATATGATCAGACTTGCAAACACAGGTGCCAGTGTCCAGCACCCGGATGTGTCCCTTTTGCTGAAACTCAATGGCCTTATCGCGTAATTCCTGTACGCACCACTCCCACGCCAGGTCACTCAAGAGGGGATTCACAGCGATGGAGGCAGAGCTCTCTTGCCGCAAGCGCGCCACAACCACATCATCACAGACATCGACATGCCAGTTTGGACGGTGGGTCAGACGATTCATTACCGCAGTCATGGCCAGCTCACGTGCTGTGACGGCTGGCGCCTGGCGCCACTCTTTGATTCCATGAGCAAAGCGCGCGTCGGATGGAAGCTCGTACTCCAGAGGGATGGCACCAAACCCGGGTACCCGAAGCGGGCCGTCACCGCTGTTATCGAAAGAAACGATCGGGGGCTCGTGGATGGACTTCTCACACATGTCAGGCGAGGAAGGAGATTCATCGTCCATGATGTGCAGAGAGACAGGGCTGAGTTGACTAGGATGGAATCGGGACGGTGGGACGATGGTGTGAGATAAGAGGTTTTAATACTAAGTCGCACTTTAGCAGTACTAGTTCAAAGATGGAAAGCCTGACTCAAAGAGTCAGCTGGGTACAGGGATCAGGAACAGCTAAGCTCTTTTTGTATCCAGACTAGTACTGTAGCTTGCCATGATGGTTGAGTTAGTAGCCTATGAAGTACTAATTGGTTAGTACGGCTTGCCTCGGTAACTGGATGAGGGCTGATAGCGTAGCAGTGAATATATCCAGTACCTCAAGCGATGAATGACTTTTATCCCCATTGTCAAGACTGACACTTTGATGACCGTCCAATTCAAACCGTCTAGAGCAGAGACATGTTCTTCTCATTAGCTATCATGTATGTGGTAAACAGAACTGCTCGAAGATAAGTAGGTTTGGTTGCATCTCGGATCAACTCACTCCCGAGCCCATGAACTCTAGTGACCCGTAGAGGTTATCCCCGATTCGGGCCGCCGCTTTGATGCGGAGAAAGACCCTTCCATTTCTCGCGGGATTGTGTACTTCCTCCACATTTCTCCGGTCCCGTTGAACGGCTTCTCTTCCCAGGTTCAAACTCCGACCATGTCCAATCGACAACGGGAACATCTCCAACTCTCGAATGAGTCCAATTCGTCAAGCAACACAAGCCAAGTCCGTTCCCCGTTGCCGACCCGGGTCAGTAATGCGTGTGAAAGATGCCGGCGCCATAAAACTCGGGTAAGCGAGAGTTACTTTCTTTCACTTTAGTAATCCTTTACCAAGGTACAAAAGATGACACCCATTTATCTGGCGTCTACAGTGCGATCCTTTCCGACCTTGCTCCTTATGTGCACGGGCTAAAGTGGTCTGTCGTCAACTTCCTGCTCCTCAGAGGCCCAAGGATAAACATCGCATGTAAGTCACCCCGTTCTCATAATCATTACAAGAACACTTCCACTTCTATCTTGTGGTCACTGAACCTTGCATTCCCTGACACTCAATAGCACGAAAGCGGCTTCGAAAAGCCGCCAGCGGCAGACCAGGACATTAGCAGCAACTATTGATAATGATCCACAATATACTGATGGCAACTGCCCATCTACGTCCAGAACTGAGAGAAATGACACACAGCTATCTGAGGAGACGCATCAGGCGCAGTTCCTGATGGAGTATGGCGAAGCCGAATCTACGATGGGTATCGCCCAAAAAATCTACGAGCTGGACAAGCAGGTCATCGATGAACAATCCACCTCCGCCATTCCAGGAGCCCGGACTAGCACGGGGGTTGCTGACCGGCGCGCCGGAGGGCAGCGACGTCCTATCTCTTCGATCTTAGGTCAACGCCTTCCTCCCACAGATGTCACCTACTCTTCAATCGAGGAATACTTCAATACAGTTCACTGGTTCTCTCTCGTTATCTACGAGCCAACCTTTCGCACAAGACTGCACTCTATTACTGATGGGTTCGCTCATCCTTCTCAGAAGTCATTCTTACTTCTATTGGCAGTCATGCTGGGGATGAGCGCATGGTATCGATCACAAAGAACCGTCACAGATGCAGCCGACAGTAGTAGGTGGCGGAAATTGAGTGCCGATCTCATGAGTCTTGTCGAATTGCATGTCGTGGAGTTGATGGACGAGTCTTCAGTGACGGCAGCTCAAATTCTAATTCTATTCGGGTCGCACCATGTTTATCATGGTCGCCCAAACTTGTCGTTCTCTCTGCTCGGTGCAACCATCAAGATGTCCCAGGCTGCGGGGCTACATCGAGAATCTCCTACAGGAAAGCTTGAGGAGATTGAAGAGCGGAAGCGAGTATGGTGGACAATATACACGTGGGACCGATTCGCGTCCATCACATACGGTCGGCCATTGGGAATTAATGATAAGGACTGCAATCTCAGCATGCCGGCGGATAATTTGGAGAACCCATATTTTACTGCACCCGGCTCGGAGCAAGGATACGCCATCTGCTATTCTCCTTATCAAAGAGAATTAAACACCCTCTATCTAATGGCATCTCCGGCACTGGAGTTCATTTTCGGCTCGCGCACTTCAGGTTCCTCTAAGGCATTGACCGGGGAGGTTTACATTGAACTAGTGAAAGAAGCGACCCAGAATCTCCAGAAGTGGCAGAATAATCTGCCCGACTACTTGACTATGGACTTTGACCGAGATGTCGAACTTGATAGTGGGCCGAGTGCAAGAGCGCATGCTCTGCAATCCCTGTCGTTGCAATTGACCTACGACAATGTTCTCATTGTTCTCCACAGGCCGTTGCTGGCAAGGCAAGTCAGGCATCTGTCAATAAGTCATCCCACTTCTGGGGCAAGGCTTGGAACGGAATCTCCCATTTCACACCCTGAAGCAGGCTCGCCGGCTCAGAAGCTGTCACCGTTCGAAGCCATGTCCCCGAATGAGCCGGTTAAAAGTTCAATGCATTGGTGGAATGCTGCTCTCAGGACATCGCGCGTCACAGAAGTGCCGGTACTTGCTCAACTTGCAACAGATAGCCATCTTGTCGCCTTTCTTGCCATCAATATATTCCATGCTGCAATCGTACTGGCAGTCATGGCCCTATCAGACCCATTATCAGATTCAACCCAAGTGGCGAAGCGTACAATCACCCGGATCTTACGTCTACAGAGCCTTTTGGGTGAACGGTCAGCTTTATCAAGACAAAGTACGACCGTTTTGAAAAATGTGGTCACTCTGATTCTTCGCCGTGAATCGGAGGCCATCCTGGCTCCAGTCACAAGAAACAGTCAACAGGAAGGGCACACATTATCTACGGGATCTGCGTCCATCTCCGTGGAAGACACCCTACGACTGCCCCTGGATGCCCCAATAACTCAGACCGACAGTTCATTACGGCGGCCGACATGGCCAGACTATGGCAGGATGCATCGTTTGAATGAGAGTCTAGCATCTGTTCAAAACGGTGAGCGCAACGCCATCTTTCTATCCCTATGGTATGTTCAGTGACGCTGATTGTATTTTAATCCATTAGTTATTCCTTCTGGCAGGGATGGTAGCCTCCAGGACACACACGGCGCAAGAGACAGTCAAGAACAGCTGCCTGATACTCACGAGCACGCCCCAGCTGAAAACTCGTGGCATGGGTCGTTCGAGAATAACTGGAATGACACTAGCTTTCCCTTGGAAGTTCCAGATATCGCCTCAGATGCCTTTGGTGACAATGGACTGTACTGGCTATGGGACATGTCATGGGCCGGAGCGGAACCATGAAGCTAGCAAATCTATTTAACACGCAAAGCGTCTTACAGTTTACTAATACAGAACAATGAGAGGAGATTGACTTTTTTTATGCCGTGGTTGCTTTCGCTGTATTCTCATCTGCACCGGGTCCATAGATGACAGTCTTGATACCCTGTCGGTTGCCGACGTTCTTGAATGCCTCTTTCGCATGTGTGAAAGGAAACTCATGGGTAACAAGGCCCTCTAGGACAACCCGACCCGACGATAGCAGCCCAATAGCTGTTCGATAATCTCCTGGACCATACCGAAAACACCCCCTGAAAATGGCCTCTTTATCACAAATTTGACCGACCGGCAGTGAGGGGTTCGGTTTGCCCAAGCCGACCTGAACAAATGTTCCACCCTGCGCAAGGGCTGAAATACCACAATTCATACAAGGCTCAGCGCCAGTGGCATCCAGTACGATATGAGCTCCAGCATCCAGCTCTGATTCTTCCAAGATTCTGGCGGCATTGTGCTCGGGGGAATCGGCGCTCATCTTATACGTGTGCGTGGCTCCGTACGTTTGTGCCACGCTAAGTCGGTCGGAGTTGATGTCTACAATCACGACTGTTGACGCACCGAATGCGCGTGCAACGGCTGCGCAGAGCAAGCCAACAGGACCAGCGCCGAAGACAACGACCGACTTTTGCTGCATATCTCCTGCCAGGCGACAGCTGTGTACCGCCACACTGAGTGGTTCGACCAGTGCTCCGTGTTGCAGTGACACATGTGCCGGCAGCTTGTAGCAGCATTCTGCAGGAAGACGGTAGTAGGTCGCCAGGGTGCCATCATAGGGTGGTGTAGCGGCAAAACGCATTGCGCTACAAAGATTGTATCTGCCTGCGCGGCAATGCTGGCAGGTATTGCAAGCAATGCCGGGCTCCAGGGCCACGCGATCACCGACAGTGAAGCCTGATTTGCTTCCGCATTCCACTACAATGCCGGCGGACTCATGGCCAAGGACGATGGGGGCTTCCACCACATACCGTCCTATGCGGCCATGCTGCCAATAGTGGATCTAGGTCGATGTAAGCTGCAGCCCCAACTAGGAAGACGATGAACGCAAAAGAAGGCTTACATCAGAGCCACAAAGACCTGTCACGATAACCTGGACGATAACGTCGCGATCCGTCTGAAGATTGGGTATCACACGCTCTTCATAATCGAATTTGCCACCCGGATGTAAAACGAAAGCCTGTACGGACACCGATCGAGGACGTCAGTAGTCGACTCTTGATGGAGATATTATAAAACGTCAAACGAACCTGATTGATGTTTGAAGGAGCCATTTTGGCCAAGTATTATGTACAGATCAACCAGATTCCAGGGATTGGTCAGGGCTTTTAACAGGGCACTTCTAGCCGGGTGGTACCACGGTGGAGGTCATGCCATCTATGATGTCGGTTCCGGCGGACATCTCAGAAGCTCACCCTATCCGTACCCACAAAGTGAGCCATTTGCGTAACCAAAGGAGGCAGTTGGTTGAGACCAGGAGACCATCCCACGGCGGGGAATAAATGCCTCGGAACCGAGTGGGGTCGGAACTGGCCAAGCTGGACTCGGAACCGAAACCACACGGAACCGGTGAGAAAACCCCTACTACATCTTCTAACCACCGGCATCGTTGTTGCAACATGAAGGCTAAATTCAGTCCTGGAAGTATGCCGTGACTACGGGATAATGCGATGAAACCATTGTCTAAGACAAAGGAATTCCCACTTCGACGGGACAGCAGTCTTGTTGCAACTGGTAGGCACTCACAATGGTCGCCGAGCTAAAGCAACACGAGCGCGCCAACCCCGGATGGCCGACTGGAGTGGCTCACTCCCGACACCAGCTCCACTTTCAGGGCCTGGAGAAAAGGTCTGCTTCCCCACGGGACATGATGCTCTGGGGTAGAAATAGAGCGACGGCCACAACTGTTTAAATGTCTCGGTCCGTCAAAATCGTAGAGTCCACCTGGCACTGCCCCTTGCTCATTGAGGGTGCTCCTCTGGAATTATGGCTACCAAAATGTCCTCTATACCAGCGGATAATGCCGCTTTGACTCGCACTGCACAGGCTATGGCTGCTCGGGAAGTAGAGCAGCAGAGCTGGCTGGAGCGGAAGCTGAAGCCGACGAAGGTAAGAGCTTGGTATCCCTTCAAGGGAACCCCATTGCTCTATGCGACATGTGGTTTCGGCAGTCTGGGAGATGCCCTGTTTGGGTACAACTCTGGTATAATTGCCTCCTGTCTGGCGACAAACTAGTCGTCACTTCGTGTCGTTGCTGATGGCTGTGTTCGATAGGAATTATGTCTGGTCTTCTCGTCAACCCAGCCTTTGTGTCTCGTTTCTTCAAAGACTACGGCGGTGCTGACGGCTCAACCACCGGTGTCGATCCTTCAATTACAGGGATAGCTGTCGCTTGTTTACAGGCGTCCGCGGCGGTGGGTGCACTCCTTGCAGGACGACTAGGCGATATGATGGGGCGCAAACGGTGCGTCCGTCTCGGCGGGTTTATCTACTTCTTCAGTGCGTTCATTCAGATCTTCGCTCCTGGGTTTGGCACCTTCATTGCCGGTCGCACCATTCAAGGTCTAGGTGTTGGGTTTCTCTCCATGACAGTCCCCATCATTCAGACCGAGATTGCCGCCCCTCATCGGCGTGGTTTGATGGTGGGAATCGAATATACCTTTCAGATAGCAGGTTATATGCTTTCATGTTGGGTAGACTATGGTTTCAATTTCCTTCTGCCCAGTAAAATGTCGTGGCAAGGTCCATTCATTATTCAGATTGCTCTCTCTTTTATTCTGCTGGCCATGTCCTTCTTCCTTCCCGAGACACCTCGTTGGCTGGCCAAGAACGGATTCATGCAAGAAAGCTTGCAGACAGTCGCTGACCTGCACGCCAATGACGATACTCAGGCGGAACATGTGCAGCAGGTTTTTGTGGAGATCGAGGAAGCGGTTATCTTCGAAACCAACCTAGGGAAGTCGTCTTGGATGGTGAGTTCTCCTACGCTTGCCGTGGGCAGACAATCAAATGCAAAACTGACCTTGGACAGGAAATGTTCACCCGATACCGCAAGCGGACCATCGTCGGAATCACCGTGCAGATGTTCGCGCAACTCAACGGAATCAATATCATCTCATTTTACCTTCCCAGCACACTTGCTACCGCAGGCTTCGATGAGCGTAAGTCCCTTCTGTACACTGCAGCCAACGCACTGCCTTATACTGCGGCTACAATCTCGACTTGGTGGTTAGCAGACCGCTGGGGACGGAAACCATTGCTCATACTTGGAGGTGAGTACATTGCCGTCCTCTGACACCTTCCTATACACTGTGGACACCCAACTAAAACATGTACCGAACTAGGTCTCGGAATGGCAGTCCTTCTTGGCATCGTCTGCGCTTTCACCGAAGCCGACCTAGACGTCCAGGTCCGCGCCAAGGGCCAATACGCCTTTGTCATGCTCTACAACATCCTATACGGCTTCACCTGGGGCCCAATGCCGTGGCTACTACCAGCTGAAATCTTCCCCTTGCGCGGCCGCAGTAAAGGAATGGCTCTGGCTACCACCAGCAATTGGATCTTCAACTTCATAATCGGCATGGTCTCTCCAGATGCGTTCGCCGGTATCAACGGATACTTCTATCTTGTCATTGCTGGATTCTGTCTCTTCTCTGCGGGATTGGTATACTTCTACTATGTTGAGACGGCTAATAGCACGCTGGAGGAGGTTGCGGAGTTGTTTGGTGATACGGCGTTTGCGGATGCTGATGGGGAGGCGAGGGAGGCTTCTGAGGTGCGGATAGATTATCGTAAGGATTTTGTGTGATTGTTGCTTCATGCATCACATAGTATGGTAAGCCAGTTTGGATCGAATTGGCTATGCTTGCTGTCCGGCTGACCAGGTTACCAGCGTTCATACTACTCTTACGAAGTATGTTTATGCTTACGAAGCGAAATCATGGTGCTAGCCTATTTCAGCAGCGATAAGTCTCTTGGGCGTTGACGATGACAAAGAACACGATACTTGACTTGTTAGTCGCTCTATCTCCAAATACTATTTCTCTTACGCGTTCTCTAAGTTGGGAGTGGCCAGCGGGCCACACTTATAAGCTTCCTATCTCGAGATGCAACAGTTTGATAAAGGAGGTAGAGCTAGCTAGATACCAAAGGAGCGCGTTAACAACAATGATTGCCGATGAACAACGTAACCAATTCCAACACAGAACTTCACAGCTGACCCCAGCCCACATTGACACAAGACCATCGGCATTGTTGAAAGGCACGAAATAATCTCAAGTCTACGACAAGCCAGAGAAATATCCAAAACAGCCTAGAGTGCTGTTAACTAATTCAAACAGGAGTCTGACAATCCACCGTCTTGTGGTGATCATCGTATTCGCAGTGGTGGCGATCAGTCTTGCACTGTATACAACATTAGCACACATCAAATATCCTGGAGCCCAATAGGGATTTATGTAGGTACATACCCTCAAATTCGTAGCTGAAGGACAGCTGACGACGTGGTTCTTTCCATCCTTTCGGTATGTGCAGGTGTTGTGTTCAAGGCTGCATTCCTATAACAGTTCGTGAATGTTAGTTTCATCTCTATAATGATCAGGGGGATTATGTAGTGGCACTAACTCCACCGTATTTACTCAGCTGCACGTCCCGGGCAAGAAGATCGTCCGACTCAGCTGCGATGGGGTTTGCGATGGCGCCCATTGCGGCGAAGAGGATGATGGCGATGCTGGTGAGTTTCATTTTGGAGATTGGCTTTCTTCTTCTGAGGAATTATTGCGAAACTGTGTTGAGTTAATAGAGATAATATAAGTGAATTGGAGCGTCGTGGAGTTGTCTTATATACTCTGGAAGTTCGGGATACTCTTGCCATATTTGACAAATACTATCCTCAGTTTCCCAAGCAGTCATCATTGAGGCGACACTGGTGGGATAGCCTGAGCTATCCAATCAAAGATATGCCGCATATATTCGAAGAGATATACTGACCTGGCAACTGATATGATCTCCTAGGTGAGGTGGTCGAGTCCTTAGTAATACGACTGGGGCGTGATAACCAGCGCAGAAGGATTACCGTAAGCCACTTGATAGCAGGACATTGATGTTCTGGGTGGCCTTACATCTTTGGTACTATTCGAAGAAGGAAAGATCTCCTGATCCTTGAGTCAATGAAGATATTGTTCATGCGGGGTATAGCATAGGGCTCAACGCTAAGAGTGACTAGTGAGTTCGCTGTAATTAGTCAAGCCTTGAACCCTGCATACACAGCCCTGTAGCCTGCGGCAGGGCTGGGGCGTAAATCCTGCGGATTAGGGCGGACATGCGATGTAACGCTGTAAGCATCAGGCACACGTGATTTGAAGTATTATTATTATCTTATGAGTATACAAGACTCAGTGGCTGACTGATTTAGCTGTAGGGTCGACATATGTTGGCGAAAACGTTGGAACAAACGTCTCAGGGCAGTTTCATCTATATCGGCCTGCAGTACTGAGTATGTATGTAGCATGTTGGACTAAAGTATAGTTCTCAAAGGCTACGATGAATAGCATAGTTGAAACCTTGTTTTTTCCGCTTGTGGTAGTAGCTTACTTTAGGCTATTTAGAGTTCACCAGTGATAAATAAGCACTAATGCCTTCTAAGGCAACAAACAATCATCGGCAGTTCATCCACAACTCAATTCCCTTCATGCGCCAAGTGCTTTGCCTTCCGGCCCCGGTCCGGATCCAATTGATGCTGAAATACTTCGTTTTAGGTCATCATTAATAATCAAGTATGTATAATCAAAGTACTCAAAGTGGCTATTACTGTAACTAAACTGCCATATCTGTGCATGTGCTGCTAAAGGTTCACTAGCCCCATGACCATCTGAGCGGCTCTCAAGCTAAGCATCTAGTCGGTCACATTGGATGTAACATCAAACAATGCTAATGCATGCAGGGCAACTCATCACCTCCCGAATACGACTCAGCCCTGCAAGCCGTCTTACCCACAGCAATGCGGGGTTTGTAACCTGTCCCTGCTGGATAGTTGCATGATCAACAGCTAATTCTGTCTTAGCTTCCGGCTGATCGACAAGCAAACAAAGAAACTAGTTACGCCCGTCAGCATCTACACGAGTCCAGATTCACATCTTGGGCTGTCAGCCTTGTTAGGCCCTATGTTGCTGCCTAAGATGCAGGGGTCCAGAAGGTCTCCCCACGGGAGAGAATCCCCTGCTTTCTCGTAGATGTTAAGTTTACAATAGTTCGTATCTCTGTCTGATTCTGTCAACTTCTCTGAATCTTTACTCTCCTCTATCTCCTGTCTCAATTTGATTGAACCATCGATCAATATTAGTATCAGCGTCCAAAATGGATCACCTCCGTGACTCCCTACTAAGCTCTCTGCCCAGAGACAGCCCTTCTACTGCAGCAATCGATCACTCTCGCAGAGACCAAGAAGACACCCGACAGGCCGTCGCACGTGGCGAATACCAAGAAGTCCGAGACATAGCCTTCAGCAACCGGACCTGGGTCGTGACCAGCCGATACTGCGACATTGGAGATGGCGTTGACTCTCTCGAGAGTCACATCCATTCCCTATGGTACATGTACTACGAGCTTGGGCGAACTATCCCCTCCTACTCACCTGAGCACGAGGGACTAGTCCTCGATATCCTCCGCATCCAAGGAATGGGTCCATTGACAAGACCCTCTGGGGGTGTCAAAGGAATCGATATCGCACGAACTGTCGATGGTACACTATGGAACGACCTCCCCTTCCTTGTTGGCGATATGACCGATTTCTGGATCAATCACAGTGCATCTATGTCGGGAACACACCGGCTGAATTTTGCTACATTTCTGGCTAAACTTGCCTCTACGCGTGTTGCGAAGGATAGACTGGGCCAAGTTGCTCTGCTCATCTTCCGTACCCTGTTTGAAAGTCCCCTGCAACTTCGCTCGGGGAAGGAGTCTGATGAGGAAGATGTAAACAGAGGTACGAAGCAGCTGGAGGTGTTTCATCTGCTACCATCTGCTGTTGCTTGGCTCAAGATAGCAAGCCACAACCTGCTTCTGCTCTCTGAGGTATATTGGAACGGCTGTCCAAGCCACATCAGCAAGGGTGGTGAGACGTTCGTTGAATCGGATCTCGGACAGCGGTCGCCTACAGGGTTCTCGCCATGGAGATACATGTTCTGGCTGAGGCGACTGCATGAGATTCACGATGAGGCTAAGCAGGCGGGTGAGAAAGCTCTGGAGGAGCTCGCTGCTGATGGTATCCAATATATGGTCAATACGATCAAGGATAGGAATTCTGAGGTTCTCAGAGCATATAAGAATGGTGGAGATATCTTGCATCAGGATAAGTATCTTTCGTGTCTGAAGACTCTTGCTCACGTTGAGGAGTAAGAGCTGTGGAGATTTGCGAAATTCTGATGGAGAGATTCCTCCTTCGTGTCCTTCCTTCTCAGTCTCTTAAGACCTTCAAGGTGAATGTCAACTTTCTCTCGAGGCTTCTTATTATTCGTTTTTTATGAAATTCTCATCTCTATTTTTCTTTGTCATGAAGGTGTAGTAACGTAACTCCCAGCCGCACCGGCCACTCGCCCGCGCCGGCCACCCAGTACACCGCCCAACGCGTTTCTACATGCAACCACTCTTTCTATCAAAGGAAGTGAATTAGCAATGAGTAGTACAATGATTCTAGGGCGGTGTACTAGGGGTGGCCGGTGCGGCTGGGAGTTACGTTATAACCTGAGGAACAGAACTAAGGTCACGCAACGATATACACCCGTATATTCGTCGATTTGGACTAAGCTGCCTACAATAGTAAGTCAACTTGAAGAACCCAATGATAACTAGGTAGTCTTTCCTCCATTAACAACGACTACATTATACATCAGAGCCGTACGACGTAGTAAATCCCCTTGGGTAACATGCTCAGCAGTTACGATCTCAGTCATTCCCGACATGTACAGCTGGCTGCAAATCCTACAGGTAAACAATGATTGCCATAACACAATGCATCGAATCCTATACTGGTAACTTGTATTCTGTTATGTCGATGCTTTCTGAAGATTTTGTTATAAATTGAGCGCAGGTATATTCGTATCTTCAGATCAACCCTGTTCTTTGACACGCTCATAGTATGGTACTTTTTGCTGAAATGGGAGATGCATGGCAGAGGGACGAGAAAGCCTCCTCTGCTCCGAAAGTGGAGTTCATGAGCGAACCAACGGTCGCTTAGCAAATCCACTGTACTTGTGACTACTTTGGTGGAGGTCAGCATGGGTATGTGGGTGGGACGGCGCTTCCTGCAACGGCAGACTAGCGTAGCGCTTGTTGCTACCGAATGGGAGAACTAGGCTGGGGCATGGGAGTGACAATATCCGGATAGACCGGATATACGATTGCGGGGTAGAAGGGTTGATACCGTTGGTATACATGTAGAGTCATTTGTGAAATAAGACTTAGAGGTTCATTTGTGGACGTGGGATTCATACACGTTGCTATATCTTTTAGAGTTGAATGTATATTGACATTATATTATAAGCGTATCATTAAGTCAAATATCGGTGGTAAATAGTCGCTGTGCATAGACCAGATAACAGGCTCGGTAAGCAATGCCTTCAGTTGGCTTTGATCTCGGTGGACCGTTTCATGCCGGATGTCATCACTGGTGACTGCAGCACTTTGTGCCAGTCATGCAGCATTGCCGTATTGACAGTAGAGAGGCCGACTTCACTTCCCGCGCGGGATATCATCTCATCTTCATAGTCTCTAATGGCGACAGCCTGTGTCGCCTCTCCAGAGACAATCCGTCGCACCGCTTCCACCAGATTGGCTGCGTCTGTGATCGAATGATTCAAGCCCTGGCCACGCTGATATGTCATGGCGTGTGCTGCATCCCCGGCCAATGTTACCCGCCCCCCTCTGTTATCCCACCTATGGGATTGGTCCCGCGGGTCAAAGTCGCTCAGGCCCATGTACCAGACTTTCTGGTCATCAGGCAGCCATTCGAACGCACTCTTCCAGGGGTCGGTGTAATTCTTGGCAAATTTCTTGACTTGCTCAAGCCTTTGCGCGTTGCTCCAACCAGCTGTCTCCCGCTGCTCCTGCAGGGAGGAGTGCCATGATATGTAGAAGAAGAATGTCCAGGTTTCTGGTCGTTCACGATCTGTTGCGTCGTGTAGTCCAAAGAAAGAGAAATACCCCGCAGGGTTGATGCCAGCGATGTAGAGAGGGTGGAATTGGCGTAGGTATCGAGCACGCTCTGCAGAGTACTGGGCTTGAACAAAGGTGGCGCAGTAAGGAAGCCGGCGGACATCCCCTCTGCTTAGACCCAGTAAGACACGCCGTGTCGTCGAGCGAGCTCCATCCGCGCCCACGATAATCCTCGCTGAGATTGATGAGCCATCTTCGAATATGGCAGTGGCATGTTTGCCGTCAGTAGAATACTGGATGTCCTGGAGCTTTTTGCCATATCTGATGGCCAGTCCCTGCTCCATCAATCCTCGTAACTTCTGACGACGCAAGCGATAGAAAAGGCAAGCAGGTATGGACGCCATGACCTCTCCTGACTGTCCGTTGAGGAAGTTGAGAGCATCCTCTTCTGCTGTTGGCTCATTAGGATCGACTTGAACTGACTGGATTCTTAACCATTGCTCTTCTGGGAGGAGAGCTTGCAAGGGACGTGCACCCCAGTGCAAGCCCATGTTCCAGTCACGGTCATATGCATCTAAACTGTCATGTTTTTCTACCACGATAGTAGGGATTCCAGCCTAAAACGGCGTCTTTAGCCA